CGGGCGCGCACCATGAACTCGTGGGACGCGGGCCTGGCGGGGCTGCTGGTGGGCACGATGGGCGTCTCGCTGCTGTCCAACGCGCTGGTGCTGCTCTGCCTCCTGCACAGCGCCGACATCCGCCGCCAGGCGCCGGCGCTCTTCACCCTCAACCTCACGTGCGGCAACCTGCTGTGCACCGTGCTCAACATGCCGCTCACGCTGGCCGGCGTCGTGGCGCAGCGGCAGCCCGCCGGGGACCGCCTGTGCCGCCTGGCCGCCTTCCTCGACACCTTCCTGGCCACCAACTCCATGCTCAGCATGGCCGCGCTCAGCATCGACCGCTGGGTGGCCGTGGTCTTCCCGCTGAGCTACCGCGCCAAGATGCGCCTCCGCGACGCCGCGCTCATGGTGGCCTACACGTGGCTGCACGCGCTCGCCTTCCCCGCCGCCGCGCTCGCCCTGTCCTGGCTCGGCTTCCACCAGCTGTACGCGTCGTGCACGCTGTGCAGCCGGCGGCCGGACGAGCGCCTGCGCTTCGCCGTCTTCACGGGCGCCTTCCACGCGCTCAGCTTCCTGCTGTCCTTCGTTGTGCTCTGCTGCACGTACCTCAAGGTGCTCAAGGTGGCTCGCTTCCACTGCAAGCGCATCGACGTGATCACCATGCAGACGCTCGTGTTGCTCGTCGACATCCACCCCAGGTGAGCGGGGGGCGGGGGGGCGGGGGCAGGGCCGTGGGAGGGGCTCAGCTTGGGGAGGGCTCTTGGTGGGAGGAAGGGGGTCCTCGTGTCCCCCCACGCCCCAGCTTGTGGCCTCGAGCAGGCCCCTATGCCACCGAGCCTCCATTCTTTCTTCTGAAAACTCAGGTCGGGGGAGGGACCAGTCTGCCGGGGGTGCTTAGAGCATCCACAAAGCAAACCACCAAAAACGTGGGTGAACCAGTATGTACATTTTTTGAGGCCTCGGGGTAGAAAGCAGAGTCAGAACTTTGTTGGACTTCTGACACTTCTTTGATGTGTTTGTAGATTTCACTTTAAACAGCACACGAGAAGGCAGTGATCTCTGCTCACTGCTTGAGTCCTTTAAAGGGTTCTAATCAGGCCCTGAGAGTGTGGCTTAGATGCTTGGGGAGCCCCTCGAGAGCTCTTGTGGGAACGTGCTGCTTTTCTGGGTCTTTCCTTTCTCTGTGTCTGGCACTGCCTCTGTCTCCTGATCCTGTGTGTGTGAGAGAGTCCTTGGGCTGCACCTTCCTCTGTGGATCCTTAAAGGAGCATCTGAAGGGCTCTTGAGGGAACTGGAGGGGGGGCTTCTCCTGCTCTTCCCAAACGGCACTGCCCTGCGTCTCCCAGACTTGGAGGCCGGAGGCACCTGCAGAGGGAGAGTGTCACCCACGAGGCTCCTGGGAAAAACCCACCCACACCACCTGCACCCTCACCGGGCCACTGTCTCAGAAAGGCAGGTCAGGGTGGGCATTTCAGGTGCAGCCACTCCCTAGGAACTCCTGCCATCCCCTGGAGCATCTCGGGGAAGGAAGGAGGAAACTCTTAGCTGAGGTGTCCTGAGCTCACCTTGGTTTTCCTTATGGGAATAGGAACCCAAGGAAGGAAACAGCTGGTGGTGTCTCTGAGGACTCTGCCGTTTTAGATCCCATCACCCCAGGGAAGGGCAGCCTGCCCCTCTGTCGCCCAGGATGGCGCAGAAAGTGAGCTAGACAGAGAACTCCTCAGGGGGGTGGCTGGGGGCAGTGAGGGAGCTGGGTCCTTATGGTGTGGATGCCCCTCCCCACCCAAGGAGAAGCAAGCTCGTGGCTGAGGCGGAAGACTGGACGTGCCAGTCTGAGCAAGGGTTCCTTCAGTGTGGGTTGTTTCTGCCCATGAGCAATAGAAAGAAGAGCCCTTAAACTTCACTGTGTCTGCACATGCAAAGGCATGCACGCGTGTGTCCACTGTTTCGTCCCAGAACGGCCCCTCCTCATTCCGTGCCGGGCCAAGGCTTCCAGCCACAGAGTCTTCCCCACGGAATCATGTACAGTGTTTACACGTGAATGCCCGATAGCACAAATACACCAGGGCCCATGAACCCACGTGTGCACACGTGTGAGCCGCACGCACACAATCGCACGTGTTCGTGTGTAGACTGCACGTCTAACAGACGGGTCTCCACATGTGCACATGTCACAGGGGACATGTATGCACACCGACTACAAAGACACGGCTGACTCACTGCCCGCATCTGTTGACGGTTCAGTGTCGCTTTCGGAAATACTCCGCAGCCGCAATTGCAGAACTGTTCCCCTTTGCCATCTCCCGGGACGTGAGGACCTCACTTTAGAAGGCGCATCCCCAGGACTTGACTGGGGCTGTTTTAGAAGCTGAGGGAATGTTGTTGAACAACCGGGACTAGAACGATTCCTATCACGGGCCCTCCCACCATGAGTCTAAGCAGAGAAGGCGTTGAACCAGGAGAGGAATCCGTTCTTATTCAGACCAGTGCAAGTCCCATCCCTGCTGCCTTTCCACGTTCCAGAACAGGAGGGGCCGTGGCTCCTTTTTAGCCCATTTGGGATATAAGGCCATCTCCACTCTTGCAAACCTGTCACTGACTCCAGGCCAGCATGCTCCCTCTGGTCCCCTCTGGGGGAACCTTGACCTCTTCGAAGCCCCGGGATGCTTTCAAGAGCCCCGACTCGCAGTGCCATGGGGCCGTGCGGGACCAAGGGATAGCGCTAGTCTGCACCGGGGTAGAGGAAGGGCTCCTGGGGCAGGGATGGCCCTCGGCCAGCTCAGACAGGCCCCACTGGCCGAGGGCCAGCCTGAGGTACGGCGTAGCAAGCAGATGTGACGGCACTGTCCCTTCAGTGAACCCCACCTGCCTTCTGTGTGGAGTCAGGTCCCCAGAGCAAGAGCGTGGGTGATGGGCACACACAAGAGGGCACCAGCTTCCTCGCAGCTGATCCACAGCCTTCTTTCCTGGCAGCTCTAAACTCTGCCTCTCTGTAAAGGAGAAACTGCAGAGCTAGCTCGGTCTGACGGAGAAGGCTGCCCCTCGAACCTCCAAGCCCTAGGCACGAAGGCTCCAGAAAGATCAGCCAAGCCTCCTGGGCTGGTGTGGTGTTGACAGCCAGGGGCACCTGGGGATCAGCAGAAGCCAGCCTTCCTTATCTGGACAGCCAGGGCGGCAGGTGGAGTCATTGCTCGCTGGAAGTTTTCCTTAACAGCCACCACACTAACGGCCTCCTGAGACTTAATTGGGAGGGACTCGTTTTTGAGTTCCCTGAGGCCCAGGGTGACGTTTGTCAGAAAGCTCCCTGCTGGGGCCTGCTCTTCCCACAGAGTGTTTAACCCCGTGAGTGGCAGTCTGGACTCCTTGGTTTCAACAATGCCAAAAGACCCTCTGGTTTAAATTAAATCTGTCCTGAGAGACGTTCCCCACTCCTGTCTTCCTGTGGTGGTTTTTCAAGTTGCGACATTTATAAAGCAATTAAGCATTCCTAATATTTATTACCCACCTGGTCCTCCGATTGCTCCATTTGCTTGGTTCTGTTCTCCCAAACCACAGCTCCGGACGAGGGATGGTGGGTCCTCTCCCTGGTGCTGAGAGTTGTGGGCTTTCACCTGACGTGGGACAAAGGTGGGTGCCGGGACACCAACAGTAACATCCCTGGTCCCCCAGTCCAGCTGAGGGCCGCCACTCACCGGGATGGGTCGGGGACTTCTCCACGGGATGGTGAAGCACACTCATCCTTGTGATCAGGGTCTACAGAGGGTTGGCTAAAGGGTCCACCCTGGAGGGCGTCCGAGCTGTGGCATAGAAAATGGAAGGGCCCATGGAGATAACCTCACTGTGCCCTTGATTTTACAGGTGAGGAAACTGGGAGACCCAGGGAAGAAGGGCAAGTGCACTTGCCTAATTTAACAGGTCTAGGATGTTTCAAGCCAAAATTTGTGCCTGGTTCTGACCCTAAGATTTATAGATGGGACAAAAGTGCAAATAGAGGCTCATAAACCATCTATATAAATATTTAGAAGTTCTAAATTAAGCTTACAAACTGTTAAATGAAATATGTTCTATCCTCCTACCTTGACAAGTATACATTTATACCACTCTGCAAGGCTGGGTTCAAATTTAGAATGCTCGGGCTCCTTGAAGTTCAGCCTCGTCCATGGTGGGGAAAGCTGAGCTGGCTCCAAGCACACAGCCCCTGCCTCTCCTCCCCACCCCTGGCTCTACCCAGCACCACGAGGAGCCTCCATTACTCAGGCACCAAGCGAGCACACCTGTGGCATTGTCCGCCCTCGGGAGGATGGGCCTGGGGAGGGTGCCTGCTCACGTTCTGGAAGTAGAATCGGGGCATCTGGGCAGGGAATTCCGGGTTCCGGGTCCTTGGAACTTGATCTAGGATGGATGATGTGGGCTCTGGGTGGGCACATGAAGTCTTCATTTCATGGGGAGGGGCGTAGTCCCCCTCACCGTCCAGGACCCAGGATAAGGTCCCCTCTTGTGAGATCTGAGGACATGACTTTTCACACTAGCATCCTGACCCCAAACTCAAGGTCTGCTCCACCATCGGTCAGCCTGTTCCCTTGCCTTTTGTTTTGTTCTCTTTTAAAGCCAGAAAACAAATCTGGATTGTCCTGGGAGTACTTGGAGCGTGCGTTCAGGACCGATTGCGGTCATCTGGAGACCAGTGAGGGCCCAGACCATTGTGTTGGGCATGGTGGTGTCAGGGACTGGAAGATTTTGGCTGTGATTGCCTCATTTATTCACTTCAGATATTCCTGGTCTTCTCTGTTCATTCTGCCATTTATTGGCGCCTACTGGGGACCATCTCTTTGGCCCCACATGTCACGATGCCAGAAAGCCCATCTCTTTGTCACAAGAAAGCTGTGTCCTATGGCAGCTCTCGGGAAGCCCCACGCTGGTGCACTTGCTTGTACTTAGGGAGGATGTTGCTGGCCAGGGGAATTTGGGGCCCCTTACCCTCTGCACTGCAGAGTCAGCCTACAAGTCTGAGGACTCCAGCTGCTACCCCTGTGCCCAGAACTATCTGGAGAGTGCATTCCTGTGGCTAGATGCAGCTTGCTTATTGCTCTGTGATCCTATGGAGGGCAGTGGGATCTGGGGAAACACCCCAGATCCCGGAGTCAGGAGTCCTGGTTCTGTCCTAAACTCATTGTGGGACCCTGGGCATGGCGTAAACCCGGCTGGCCCTCTGGGTCCTCATCTTCAAATAAATAAAATAACAGCTCACAGGGCTACAAGATGTCAAGGAGCTCAGTTTTGCAAAGCTGTCGTGGGGGAAAAAAATGAGAGCAAGTGCAGAGTGATTTTATTCTGTTGTTCTGGGCGCAGGCGAGCTGCTCTCATCCTGTGCTTCACAATAATGATAAGCAAGAGGGTTGCACAGCTGCCCTGCCCTCCTTCTCCTGCCATCCCCCTGGCCTTACCTGGAAATCGGGGAGGGGGGCCTCTGGGCAGGGAAGATGGATCCGTCCTCTTGCAGGAGTTCGGGGAAGCAGCCGTGTGGTTCCTGACCAGGAGCGCCAGACCGGGAGTCAGTACCTGGGTGCTAGTTCTGCCAGCATCTCACTCTCTGGGGGAGGGGGGCAAGTTCCTCTCTTCTCTGAGCCTCATTTTCTCCATCTGTGAGCTGGGTTAGGTGGATGAGGGGGTTTCCCATACTAGACATGACTGTGTGACTGTAGGGTCTAGCCAGTCTGTCTCAGAGCAGAGACATGCCTAGGCCCGTGTGGATGCTAACCCAGACATGCATCCACCTCGGACACATGCGGCATGCCAAGGGTCATTAAGACAGTATCCACTGGGTTCCGGGAGGCCAGAGAGGGTCACAGAGCCAGCACGAGAGTCAGGAGTCAGCTCAGACCTCCTTCCTCTGGCATGGCCCCTGGTTGCTGCTCCTTCTGTCTTTCTGTCTGTCTGTCTCTCATACATGCACAGGGCAGAAAGAAGACTTTTATAGTGGGAGGGAGCCCTGTGGTTTTGGAGCTCAAGATAGTGCTGGAACATGGTAATCGTTCAGTAAACATGTTGAATAGATAATAATCATGGTTAGCGTTTATTGAGTGCTTACTGAGTCAGACACTGTCCTAGGTACTTTTTGGATGTTAATCTCAATAAGACCCTAGGAGATATAGGTACTCTTAGAACTGTCGTTTTAGAGATGAGGAGGCTGATGAACAGAGAAGTTTGTAACTTGCCTAAAGCCACACAGCAATTAAGTGGCAAAGCCTGGATTTGAACCCAGACGTCGGGCTCTGGGGCCACATGCTTACTACCACACTATTAACGAGAAAGGACTCCAGGTTAGTGGAAGCTTTCATGGTCTTGCTTTGTCCAATCGGCTCAGGATGTTTAAGGCTCACTTAAAAAAAATCGGTTTCAGAATAGGATTCTACCATCATCTCTTTTGAGGAGGTCACTTAAAAAGATGATTGAGACTTAATTTTCTAAGAGGTTTTTTAAGGGCTCATCCCTTCATACCACATAGACGGATTAGGTGTTTTCTGGATGTCAGATGTTGAGCTTTGAACTGTGGGCACCCACAGAAGTAACTTGTCCATGCAATGCTTCCTGCTATTCAAAGCTTTGCAGGAACAGAGAGAATTATTCCCCACAGATTTTGACCGTGTACAGTAGTGACGTTGATCATTCCAGTCTATACAGTGTCCATTTTATTCCTTTCAGGTCACTGAAATGTGTCTGGTTTTCTTCCCAAAGACCTCCGAAGCTTTTACCAATATCTGCTTTTAAGTATTCCTCATGTCTTTAAGGAAGGACTATCTGGCACAGCCGGGAAAGGGGAGACAACTGGGTCCTCAGCCCCTCAGCAGGGAGTTCAGTCCCTCCTGGGGGTGCCGGAAGAAGCTCCTCACTCCTCAAGAGCTTGCTAGCTGATGAGTCAGTTCTGTGCCTGATAAATGGTAGCTCTAGTTATAGCTATTATGAAATTCCCCTTGGATAAATGAGGAACCAGATTCAGAGAGGTTTAGTGACTTCCCCAAGGCCATACAGCAATGAGGGCAGAGCTGGGACTAGGACATCTCACTCAGAGCTCCTTCATTCATTGGGGTTATTCTGAAGCATCTGAGAAATGGACAACATCGTCAGGGTCACAGATGGGAGGAGGGCCCAGCCCCAGTGCCACCATCAGTTTCTTTGGGGTACCCTTGATGTGGTGCTCATTTTTTAGGAGATACCTAGAATGCCTTATGCTTCTCAGGGGCTGAGTGTACCATGATGGCTCAGGATACCCAGCTCATGTCCCAAATCTCCAGCAATTCTCAAGTCAATTACATGAACGTTTGGGGGGAAATATTTCAATATTAAAACAAACGGGCCTGTGTTATGGAGAATATACCAAACACACATGCCCTAGGGTGACCATTGTCCTGGTTTGCCAAGTACTGACGGGGCTCTCTGAGGATGCAGGACTTTGGGTTTTAAAACCAGGACAATCTTGGGCAGACCAAGATGAATCGGTTACCTCATGGCACCCAGACATCCTGGGTGGGGACCTGTGCCTTCTCTCCATGCCCACCCATATCGTGCACATGTTACAAGAGCCAGAGGATGTTGGTAGAAGACTCTGCAGAGACCCAAGTATAAATGGGGAGCCAGGAGATTAAGACTGACTCTTGCTGGGTGACCTCAGACAAAGTCCCCCAGGCCTCCTTCCCCACTGGCTGTATTCTTCAGATTTTCTGGATAAGATGATGCCCTGGTGCCTCCCAAGGGGTTGGTGAAGACCCTCCCACTCGCTGGGAGATGACACTCAAGCCTCCGAAGTCAGATGGCCTGGGTTCAGATCCCATTATCACCTGGGGCAACAGACCATCCTGGATTGCTCTGGGTGGAGGCAGGTTTTCCATTTTAAAACTGGGCCAGTCCCATGCAAAGCATCCAGGATGCGTGACTTTCTGTGCTAAAACCAGGACAGTGCTGATTACCCAGGACAAGTTGGTCATCCTATCACCGCTACTCACCAGCTGTGTGATCTTGAGCCAGTTACTTAACCCCTCTGTGCCTCATCTGCTTATTTGAAAAAAAAAGATTATAGTTGTATCAGTCCTCAATGTATAGAGACATTGTGAGCATCAATAAACTAATGCACATGAATCTCCATCAAAGTGTCTAAAATGGGACGGGTTAAAGCCTCAAGAAATGTGGGTTTTTATTAATATTAGTTATTATAAATTAATTAGTAATGTGATTTAATAGTAATACTTTTTCAGCCAGTGTGAAACCTGTTTGTACAAAACCAAACTCCAGTTCCCAACTCTACATTCCAAGGCAAGGGGAGAAAGTCCTGCAAGAATTTCAGGGGCCTGTTTTAATTCAGTGTTAAAACAGTAGTCCTTGTGGAAGGACGGGGAGGTCGCCCTGCCATTCATGCTGCTTGTGAACCTGGCTCATGCACATTCCCTCTGCCCCTTGCTTTCCTTGAACAGACTGGCCTAATTCTGGAGCCGGGACTCTATAGGAAGGGCCTATATTATCGGCCAGATCATCTCCACATCCTGCGCAACTCTGTCTGCAGTCTTCCTCCTTGTGCATTTTTGGAATAATGTGATTTATTTTAAAAATACACAGTAGATGGGGTGCCTGGGTGGCTCAGTCGGTTAAGTGCCTGCTTTCGGCTCAGGTCATGATCTCAGGGTCCTGGGATTGAGCCCCGCATCGGCTCCCTGCTCAGCGGGGAGGCTGCTTCTCCCTCTCCCTCTGACTGCCCCCCGGCCCGCTCATGCTCACTCTCTCTCTCTCAAATAGTTAAAATCTTAAAAAAAAAAAAAAAAAATAGTAGAAACACCTGCCCACCCGGAATCCCATGGAATGGAACATGTGAGACCTTACGGCTGGACTGGCCCTTCGGGCTCTCTGACGGTGGTAACGGACAGCTCGCTGGTGCTCGTGAATTACCCTGTGCCTACAGGAAATGGGTTGCACGAACCACTTCTCTCAGTTGGCGTGAGATGTCAGTTCTCGAAAGTCCCTGGAGCTGGTGGAGTCAGGACCGGGCTGTGGTTAGAAGCATAGGCAGCAAGCTCCTGATTCCATCCTCTAAGCTGTGTCCCTGATTTCCCAGAGACTTAACATTCTCTTAGCTTCACTGAGCTTGGTCCCTGAAGGAACCAAGTGACTCCTCCCTGTGACCCCCTAAGGCAGTGTCTATAGCTGCAGGCAGGGCTGAGGCTTTGGGATGGAAGATCCAGGACTGAAGGCGTGGAGGAAAGGAAGAGTCCAGGTCAGCCCAGGTAGAAAGGACCAGCTTTGAGAAACAGACAAGGGTTCAAATCCTGTCTCCATTTACCAGCTGGGCAAACCATTTGGCTTCACTGAGCTCATACTCTTCACTGTAAAACAGGGCAGGTGAAACCCACGTGGCAGGTCGAGCACACCTGGCAGCATGAATATCAGTAAAGACAAGAATTAGAGATACTACTCAGAGAATGTAGACTCTGGTGCTGGCATGCAGTGGGTGATCAGTGAACTTCATGAGTAGTAATAATGAGAATTTATGTTTACTCGCACTTGGGCCTTGTGTTAATTGCTTTATGTGCTTTACGCATTGAACGCATTCCGTGCATCTGTGTGCTTTTTGCATTTAATTTTCCAAAGAGCCCTTGGTGGCATTTTATTATATTACTATGCACATTTCACAGATGATGACCCTGAGGCTTAGCAATGTCACGCACGTGTCCTAGGTCATGCACGTGTCCAAGGTCTCACACGCCTATGGCCGGGACTTGAGCTCAGGTCTCTCTGGCCCCTCCCGGAGCCCCTGCACTCAAGGCCCTGCCTGTGTTCATTAATAGCAAGTCATCCTCCCCTCTCTCATGCGCAGTGTGCGGGAACGCTGCTTGGAGGAGCAGAGAAGGAGGCGGCAGCGTGCCACCAAGAAGATCAGCACCTTCATAGGGACCTTCCTCGTATGCTTCGCGCCCTACGTGATCACCAGGTGAGCCTCACCGGCCGGACTGGGGCTTTGGAGGGCAAAGCAGGGCCCACGTGACCTGGAGCAGTCACCGGCCTCTCTCTTGAACACATGTTTCCAGAGGGGCTGTTGGGGTGACAGTTTACTTCACAGGTTTGGTGAGAAGGAGGGCGCATGCAGCCTTCAGAACCAGAAGGGATGGGAAAGACTCCCCTTGATTCCCAAATCACATCGTCTAACCCTGTAGCCCCAAGAGCCCCAAAAGGAAAGGAAAGGGGAGAATGGACAGAGGAAACACCTTGCCCTGGTTGGGTTCCTACGGCCCACTGGGCACGGTGTGGCCCCGCTCCCCAGGCGTCCTCTGCCTGGACACCCTGGTCAACAGCAGGCGCCACGTGCCATCGGCCCAGGGGGCAGGGAGCTCACCCCATGCCCAGCCGGGTAGGCCTGCCTGTCCCGCCGCTCTGGCCATCTTCGCTCCCATCCGCCACCGCCTGTGCCCCGAGGTGCAGCTTGCTGGCCGCGGGGCCGTGCGTTCCAAAAGCCAACCTGCTCTAGCTGCAGGATTTTTCTCTTGTGCTTCAGCCAGGCAAAAAGCATCATCCCATCAGTTTTGCACACTAGAGGGGAAAAAGAAACCACAACTCTGTATCCAGAATGGCTTCACTGTTTACGAAGTTGACGATAGAAAGGGACTTTGATGTTTGATTAGGAAGTAGATGTTGAGCCTGGGAAGTAGGATCTGTGCAGTGTGTGTGTGTGTGTGTGTGTGTGTGTGAGAGAGAGAGAGAGAGAGAGAGATTGAAAGAGGACACAGCCCAGCATCCCAGCATCCCGTGGTGTCCTCAGCTGGCAGGCGGAAGGGACCCCCTGCCTGGCTATCTCCTAGGGTGGGCTTGCATGCTCTGGGGAGGAGGAGCCCACCGCAAGGTCTCCCTGTTCCTCTCGTGCATCCTTATCCTGAGCTGACATCTGGTTCCCTGTAGTACCATCCGTTTTCTTTGACCCAGGAGGACATCTGTCCCCTCCTACTAGGGGCCCTACTCCCCCATGGCAGCCCCCATCTTTTCTTCTCTTGGAGTGTCTTCCCCTATCTCTTCACAGCCGCCTTCTCTGGGGGAAATCTCGCTTTGCATGTAGGACCTGGGACGGTCTGCAGGTCTCTGGGTAGGTCTGACTTGGGCAGAGCAAGAGCCGTTAGTTCTTCCTTCTAGAACCGTCGACTAGACCTCCCCTCCCCACTACTGACATCTTGCGTGGGATCCCCTTTCGGGGGGGGGCTGCTCTGTGCATTGCAGGCTGTTAGCAGCACTGTGTCTTCTACCCACGACTCGCCTCTACCCCGCCCCTGCTCCCCAGTGTTCACAACTAGAAATGTCATCAGACACCGCCCTGGGGATCAGCATCACCCCTGGGTGAGAACCCTTGGTCTAGATGCGCCACATCCAGCCAGGATCCCGGAGCTTGCATGGATCAGGTTTTCCAAGGGGCACGAAACCCAGGCAGAGACAAGCGGGTTTCTGTTGCTGTCCAAGGGCGGGGCGACAGGGCGGTGACCGGCATGGGCTCTGGAACGTGCCCACTTGGGTTCAAACCACAGCTGCACTTCTTCGTGCAGTGTGACCCTGGGCCAGTGATACCACCTCTCTGAGGCTCCGGCCTCCCATCGAAGTGAGCAGTGCCTGCCGCTTAGGGTTGTTTTGAGGATTGAAGCCTTTGAGCATGGGGGGCGTGGACAGCACAGGCCTGGCGTGGATGACATCTGTGGTTGGCACTCCCTCCCTTGTACTTGTGATGGGCTGGTGCGTGCAGTGAGGGGATTAATCCAATGAGGAAAGAGGCAATGGGAGGGGAGGGCAGGCAGACGGCTCTCCTCTTAGATCCCACTGGAGAGGGGACCTGTGGGCTAACGACGGGAACTTGAACCCTCAGAGGAGCCTAGGTAATGTGGCTCCAGCTTTAAACTATTGGATTTTTCTCTGGCTTAATCTCATTTCCCAACAAAATTTTCCTTTTTTTCTGATTATAGCCTGGTTCATCTAATGGTGCCCAGAAAATAATGTTTCGGTAAAATTGATAGTAGATTCACAATGCAATATGTTCCCTCCAAATGGATTTGATGCATTTGGGGTTTTTAAAAATATTCATAGAACTGTTCCTCTTTTATGGGGATGAATGGCAACTTACTAAGGAGAAAAAGCTATGCCCAGAAAACCTCATACATACAAAATACGGCTTCGGGGAAGCCACCCGCAGGCCCACTGCCGCCACCGACCCAGCTCCTATCTTGACTCTTTCTTTTTGGGGGGGAGTGGTAAATTTTAATTTTATTTTTTTATTGAAGTATAATTAACATACAGTGTGGTATTAGTTTCAGGTGTATAATATAGTGGTTCAATAATTCTGTGCATTACTCAGTGCTCATCTGACAAGTGTACTCTTGATGCCCTCTATTTCACCCAGCCCCTGCCCACCGCTCCCCTCTGGCAACCACCACTTTGTTCTCTGTATTTAAGAGTCTGTTTTTTTGTCTGTCTCTTTTTTTCTTTGTTTCTTTTTTGTTTCTTAAATTCCACATATGAGTGAAATCACATAGTATCTGTCTTTCTCTGACTTGTTTCACTTAGCATTATACTCCCTAGCTCCATCCATGTTGTTGCAAATGGCAAGATTCCATTCTTTTTATGGCTGAGTAATATTCCATATATATATGGAATATTATATATTATATAATATTGGAATATATATATATATATAAAACATCTTCTTTATCCATTCATCATCAGTCAGTGGACAATTGGGTTCCTTCCATATCTTGGCTATTATAAATAATGCTGCTATAAACAGTTGTTCATATATCTTTCCAAATTAGTGTTTTCATTTTCTTTGGGATATATCTCCAGTAGTACAATTACTGGATCATATGGTAATTCTATTTTTAATCTTTTGAGGAACCTCCATACTGTTTTCCACAGTGGCTGTACCAATTCGCATCCCCACCAGCAGGGCACAAGGGCCCCCTTTTCTCCATATCCTCGCCAACACTTGTTATTTCCTGTGGTTTTGATTCTAGCCATTCTGACAGGTGTAAGGTGCTATCTCATTGTGGTTTTGATTTGCATTTCCCTGACGATGAGTGATATTGAGCATCTTCTCATGTACCTGTTGCCCATCTGTCTGTCTTCTTTGGAAAAATGCCTATTCAGGTCCTCTGCCCATCTTTTAATTGGATTATTTGTTCTTTTTTGTGTTGAGTTGTGTAAGTTCTTTATACATTTTGAAGATGAACCCCTTTTCGGATATGTCATTTACAAATATCTTCTCCCCTTCCGTAGGTTGCCTTGTCACTTTGTTGATGGTTTCCTTTGCTGTGCAGAAGTAGGTGTAGTTCCAATAGTTTAATTTTGCTTTTGTTTCCCTTGCCTGAGGAGACAGATCTAAAAAAGTGTTTTTACGGCTGATGTCAGAGAAATTACTGCTTGTGTTTCCTTTTAGAAGTTTTATGGCTTCAGGTCTGACATTTAAGTCTGTAATCCATTTTGAGTTTATTTTTGTGGGTGGTGTAAGAAAGTGGTCCAGTTTCATTCTTCTGCACATGGCCATCCAGTTTCCCCAACGCCATTTATCGAAGAGACTCTCTTTCCCCCACCGCCACCAGTCCACCCGGCTCCTGTCTTGGCTTCCTTATGTGAACAAGGGAACCGTCCTAAGCAAACCTCATAAAATATGCAAACATTCCCTCATTTCATTCCAGCACACATTTCTCCAGCACCTTTTCTGTGCAGAGCATAAAAAAGACCCTGCAGAGGAGGCGTGGGTTGGTGAGGTCCTGCAGGAGACCCCCTCTGCAGAGACACTGACCCCGTAGATATGGCCCTCGCACCCGGACAGAACACTATGTGACGTCATCCGATAGGTACAGGGTCCAATGTTTCTGAGACAGGAGCAAGCTCGCCTGGCTGGAGCTTCCTGGACCAGCCTTGTGAAGTAGGCTTGGCAATGCTGGAGGGATGATCCAAGCCGAAGGGACAGCATGAGCCAGATTTAGAGCCCTGCATGGGGTTCACCAGTCATGGTTTCCTTTAGAGCACTTGAACATGGCCTGTATGAATTGAGATGCACTGTAGGTATAAAATGCACACTGGGTTTCCATGGCTTAGCATGACCAAATATATATATACTTTTTATATTGATTCCATAGGGAATGGTGATATCTTGGATTAAATAAACTATACGATTAAATTTAATTTCACCTGCATCTTTCCATACCTGTGGCTTGCCGTCTCTTCCTATTGGACAGCACTGGTCTTAGAGAGGTCTGGGGAATGAGGTGTGCTGAAGCCCTTCCTCCCGGCACCGTCTTGCCCTTGACTTCTAGCAGCTCATATCATGTGTCCTTCACTCCCCTGTGACCCCCGTTCCTGCTGCGCTCCAAGAGTGCTCAGGACTCTCTGCCTCCCTTCCTTCCGTGTCCAGTGTCCTGCCCAATATCAGAGTTTATCAAGAAGCATCCATTGAGCAACGAAGTCACTGCCTCCCTCCACCACATCAGGGGCAACAAGGCAGGGGCTCTTGAACAGCCTGAATGGGGGGACATCAGGCCCCAACTAGGTAGCAGGGAGCAATGTTTGTGGCTGGCACGTAAACACAGAGTTAGTCCCCATGAAATTATACCTCTCTTGGAACCACCTGCTCCATCCACACCCCTCCTATGAGTGAGGGGAGAAGAGATTCTGATGAGGTGCGTCATGTTTATGGTCACGGGAGGCCCCAGGCACACCCCAGGGGGTTGGGCATGTGCCCGCATGCTCATTACATGTGGGGAGTTCTGTGGGCTCCAGGTATGTGCTGGGCGTGGCCCAGGTCACATCAGAACCACAGTTCCACGGCCAGGGTGTCCACACTGCCAAACAGGGTGGGTTGGGGCAGGGTTTGCTCTCATATTCACCCCCAGAGAACCTGCCCCAAACTCTCCTTTCTTGCTGAGAGTCTGGGCCAGGAACCACACACTGAGTACAGGGAGT